CATCCCTGCCCTCTGGCAGTGGGAGCCATTCCCTGTGTCCTGTCCCTCCATCCCTTGTCCCCAGTCCCTCTGCAGCTCTCCTGGAGCCCCTTCAGGCCCTGCCAGGGGCTCTGAGGTGTCCCTGGAGCTTCTCCTCTCCAGGTGAGCACCCCCAGCTCTGCCAGCCTGGCTCCAGCCCTTGGGGCATCTCCATGGGCTCTCTGGACTGGCTCCAACAGGCCAACATCTCTCTTGTGTTGGTGGCCCCAGAACTGGGCACAACCCTGCAGTGGGAGCCCCCAGTGACCAGGCCAAGGCAGGAAGCCCAGGGTGATCTCTGGTGTTCTCTGAGATCACTCAGGCTGGGCACAACTGAACCAATCTGCAATGGAGAGCCAGGCCAAGTGCCAGGCTCCTGAGGAAAGGGGACACTGGCACTTCCAGAGGCTTCCCTGTGCTGGATGGCTCTGTTATCACAGCTGGCCCCAAGCCCAGGCAGCCCCAGGGACTCAGAGCAGCCTCAGGAAAATTCTTCCTTGCTGGCTGCTGTGAGTACTGGGTTAATAGCAGGAGAGCTTCAGTTAGACAAACATAAAGAAATGGAGCTTTTATTCCTAATTAGACCACTTTTATATGATTTGAGTAAATTTCTATCTTCATTTATCATGATGGTAAAGGCTCATAATGTCTTTATGGGGCAGTAGCATTTCATTTCAAGTGTCCAGTAGTGATGGATTCATTTGGTGTTTGCTGCAGCCATAAACCTTGAGCTGGGGAAATCCTTGAGCTGCTCAACATCCAGGAGAGCCATGCTGAAATTTGGGGCCAGAAAATCACCTTGTCTGATCCCCAGCTAGACAATTTATTATCCACAGAATCACACAACTCCCTGTTGTAAAGCCCTTGCTTTTTAAAACAATTTGTTTCTCTGATGGGGAAAATAATAATAATTTGTTTCCCTTTTGGGTATAAACATTCAGAATGTGTTGGTGTGAGTCTTCCTACATGCCAGGATGGGCTGAAATGGATTAGGCTGGTACAGAAAACTCTGAAATGTAAATCTGGGACAGCACCAGTGTTTGCCTTTTGATGTTTTTTTAGTGTTGATTTTGGTGCTGTTAAAGGTATAGAGACACAACCAGTTGGTCTATTATTATTTAATCATTCAAAGATGGGCAAGTGGTGCTGCACAAAGTGAACAGCAGAAGGGATGCACTGTGGGCTCTGCCCCAGAGGCCTTGCAATTTTTCACTAGTAGGTTTATGTGACAAAAGGCAAAGTTATATCAGCAGAAATAGATTAAATTATAATTATTGGTAGCTGTGATTTAGCCCAAAGCCAAGAGCGTCATGTGTGAGCTGCCCATAAACACAAACCAAACCCAGGCCTCTCTGCAGCTCTGGCAGTGCAGATCCATCCTGGGAACTACAGGTGAGCAGCAGGGCTGCACCTCTGAGCTTCTGCTGGCCTTGGGAGCATTTCCCTGCTTTTTCCATGTTTTTCTCTGGCTGTCCAGGTTGCCATGGTGCTGCTGTTTGAGGCTCTCTTCCAAAACCCCCTGGAGACCCATCACACTCTGAGGCTGCTGCTGGGCTCTGGGCTGGATGTCTGCGGCCTCCGCCTGCTCTACCCCGGCCAGGAGCTGCTGCTCTCCAGCTCAGGTGGGCTCTGCCTCTCCTCCAGAGCTTCCCTGACCTGTAACTGCACTGAGGTGAAGGGTGATCAGTCACATTTGCATGAGGGTTGCTTTATCAGTTGCTCTATCTTTCCCAAAAGAAATGATAGAATAGCTTTGACCCTTCCCTTCCCTTCCCTTCCCTTCCCTTCCCTTCCCTTCCCTTCCCTTCNAAGATTAACAAAATTGCATTAAATGGAATTTAAATACTAGTTCCTAGTAAATGATAAAATAATTAATATGTCCAGCAACCTGTACTAAACTCTGCAGCCATCTGAAGGGAACATGCACACTGGGGAGGGAGGATGTGCAGAGAACACACTCAGCATTGTGTTCATCTGGGTTCTACCAGGAAAATTGTGCTCCTGCACAGGCAGCAAGGAGAGGAGAGAGTTTGAGAATGATGTGTCTCATTCAGGGGCAGGATGTGGTGAATCCCATCAGACATGAGCCTTGCTGAGTGAGAGACAGAGAGAGGGCAATGCTTTCTCTGCTGGGCCTGATGTGCTCAGCAGGGCTGGCAGGGAGAGGTTCCCTGAGCCCAGAACTCCCCCTGGCTCTGCAGGCACTGCAAGTGCAGAATCCTGCTCTGAGGGGGCTGGTGGTGTCTCAGAGATAATGGCTGAGCAGAATTTGCCTTGTGTGTGAGATGAGATTGTGGAGTACATGGGGATGCTTCCTGCAGTTTCTGTTTTCCTGCTGGGACTGGGAACAGCCTGGAAGAGTCCTTGCAACTCAGGAGACTCTCTCAGATCACCTGACAGCAAAAGCTCTTCCTTTGTTGTCAGAGATGGGAACAGAAAACACTGGAAGCACAAAGAGGGGATCACAGGCTTGGTCATATTTCTGTGTGACAGTTGAATATTTATGGCTTTGCTGCATCTCCAGTCTCCTCTGAGATGTGCTTATTCTTCTTTCTGCTGAGGATTTTACAGCATCTTTTTGTTCTCCTGTGAGTTTCCTTCCCAGAACTGTCTGCCTTCATCTGGGTAATATTATCTGAACCAAAGCAGGAGCTTGGGGTTTCTTTTAAATGCTTTTGGAAAAACTGGTGTGTGCTCAATCCTAGCTGTGGCATAGAGTGGTCTTTTCCAGTGTCTTAAGGTGACAGAAGCTGGAATTTGTCACCCAAACCAAATAAGGATAAATTGACAAAAAGGAATAACTAAAACCAGGAGTTTATGGATGTGCCCTCCCTGATCAGGGCAGTGTGGATGGAGAGGATGTCGGTGCTGTAAGAAGCCCTGGAGACTCACATGGGGATGGTTATGGTTCATGAGTCTGGGCTTTGAAACCTGTCACAGCAGAAGTCAGAGCATCCCTGGGGCTGTGCAGCTGCTGCTGCCTGAGTGCAGGAGCCTTCCTCCCTGGGAGGAGGCTTCTCCAGGAGATGGGAGGTTGGTACAGGGCTCAGAGCCTCACTGTGTTTCCAGGCAGGGATCTGTGACTGTGTTTGAGGGGTCTGAGGTGAGGGAAGAGATGAGGATCTGACTCCATGTTTCAGAAGGCTGATTTATTGTTTTATGATATATATTACATTAAAACTATACTAAAAGAATAGAAGAAAGGATTTCATCAGAAGGCTGGCTAAGAATAGAAAAAGAAAGAATGATAACAAAGGCTTCATCTCGGACTCTCTGTCCAAGCCAGCTGACTGTGATTGGCCATTAATCAGAAACAACCACATCACAGATGCACCTGTTGCATTCCACAGCAGCAGATAATCATTGTTTACATTTTGTTCCTGAGGCCTCCCAGCTTCTCAGGAGGAAAAATCCTAAGGAAAGGATTTATCATAAAACATCTCTGTGACAGTGATCAAAGGCTGGGCTGCTTCTTCTCCATTCTGAGGGTTTGGGGAGTCTCCTCTCCTCCCACCAGGGACAGGTCAGCACTCAGAGCTGATGCTTCCACAGGCTTGGGAAAGGATTTACAGCTGCTGTGATGTTGGAGGAGTGACAGGAACCAGCCCTGAGGTGAAATTCTCACACCCACCCTCTTGTGGAACATTAAAAGTAGCACTAAAGTAACATAAAAAGTGTCCAAGTTCTTTCAGTAGCAGAAGGTTCCTGCAGAGGATCCCCCTCTCTTTTTGTGTCCAAAAGGGCCCAGCTCAGCATTAGAACAACTGGCTCCATGCAATTCTCTCCTGCCTCACAGGGAAAGTGAATTTCTGCCTGTTTTTTCCTGCTGATGGCACAGGAAGGCTGTGTCAGGAGCTCTCCAATGGACATTACAGCCAGGCTGGACAAAGCAGGGTGCTCATCCTGCAGCCACCTCTCTGCTTTCTAGTCCACGAGGAGAAGGATTTTCTGGGAGAAATAAGACTTTTCAAGCTCTGTTTTCTGTTGGTTTGTGAACTCCCATTCAGGTTGGCTGTTGGAAAACAGATGTGACAGATGACAGGAACAATTCCCACAGGCCTTGCTTCCCAGATGTGGCCTTGGAGCAGCATCCTGGGATCCCCATGGATCCACAGCTTACACCAGGATGTGTATTTGCCTGATTTCAGGCAAATGTCTCATTAATCCCCTTGGATTTTCCAGCCTGGATTTCCACCTGGAATCCCCTTGGATTTTCTCCTTGGATTTTTCAGCCTGGATTTCCACCTGGAATCCCCTTGGATTTTCCACCTTCGATTTTCCACCTTGGATTTTCCAGCCTGGATTTCCATCTGTAATCCCCTTGGATTTTCTCCTTGGATTTTCCTTGGATTTTCCAGCCTGGATTTGCACCCTGGAATCCCCTTGGATTTTCCACCTTGGATTTTCCAGCCTGGATTTTCCAGCCTGGATTTCCCTCTGTAATCCCCTTGGATTTTCTCCTTGGATTTTCCTTGGGTTTTCCAGCCTGGATTTTCC